TCATATAAAAATTTTGAGCTCATTCTGAGCGGGGCAGGTAGGGTACTTTCCTTGTTAACCTATCCATACAATACAAAAAAAACAAAAAACGTACAAAAAATTTAAAAAAAATAAAAAATACTAAAAAAACAAAAAAAGTACAAAAAATACAAAAAAATAAACATAAGAAAAAATTCAACATTCAAACTGTCACTTTGACGTAAAACCCTTTATACATAGCTACAATAACCACAAGTACACAAAATTTAATAAAGAAATCGATCAACTATCACATTTACTACGTAACATTCTTTTTCATTACATTTCTAATATTATCTGTAGAACGATTCTGAGAATGACTAAACAATAAAAGAAATATTAGAATGCCAAATACGTACATATACTCATCATTGATGTTAATTGTTACATAAAACAATGTGCACTTTGGCAACAATTCGATAACTAAAAGGGCATTGGTGGTAGGAGCATTGACTTTTACACTTACTGCTGTAAATTTTGAGAATTTAAAGTACTATTATAAGTATGAAAGCCTTTTTTACAGAAAAATGATAATTTGGGCATTTAAAATGTTTTTTTTAATGTTTGTAAAGAAAGTTTTCCCTACTCTAACCGTTTTTACCAATAAGTCTTTGAATGTAACGAAATGTCACAAAATGTATTGGATTTTTAAAATACCGTAGAAGTGTTTACAAAGTTATAGTAACCTTATTTTAGTAAAACGACGTTTTTTTTACGTTTTTCAGACGTTGGACGAAACGCCACAAAAATTATCGGTTTTTCACCAAGTGTTAAAATCCTTTTTAGATAAACCAAATTAACGTATCTTACCAAAAAACCACGTTTTGATACATGTTCTAGCATGAGGCGAAGTGTCACGACAATTATCGGAGTTTAAAAAATGTTTAAACATTACTATATAATTGTATGTTAAATAAAAAAAAAACTGATGAAGTAGGTACCCAATCTGCAACTAAACTTTATAAGAAGCCCACTAGGCTTGAGCCGAAACAAATAAGACCGTACGGGCGCGTTAACCAGGCCAAAATGATAGCCCTAAAGGTTTGACTTAGGTCCCGCAACGAAAAATTTCACTTGCAAAAGATTGTAAAAAACATTTGACGTAAAAGTTACTTTCAAATATAAATTCCAAACCAACACTCCGGCCCGTGGGCAAAATCGAAAAACTAGGCCCAGCCCGGCTTCTTTAAAGTTCCACACCTTAATAAGCCTCCAACCCGAACGAACCGCCGGTTCTTGACTTGTGTTTTGTCGCAGCCATAAACACTTATTAAATAAGCGCGAATTTGCAAATGAAAAATGAATAAACAAACAAAAACAGGCAGTAACATTCGTGGTTTTATTGGCACTGAGCATGATGCTGATATGCAGTTTGCTTTTTATGCATAAGTGACACATACTTCAACCCATTTTATTAGGCTTTTGGGATTGGCAACCGACCAAAAATAAACGACGGCCAAAGAACGGGGGGTTTGAAGAGAAATGGAAGGAACTTTCTTTACAGAACTGGAAATGGCAAGTCCTTTCTTTACAGAACAAAAATGGCAAAAACTTTTGTTACAAATTGAAAAATGACAAGAACTTTCTTTACGGAACAAAAACTGGCAAGAACTTTCTTTACAAAACATAAAATAACAAGAACTTTGTTTACACAACAAAACGTAAAAAAAATAAGTTGTCCATCGTATAACTTGTCACCGGCAGCCTGCAAAGTTTAAAATTTTCGTTTTTTGCATAATAATGGAAGAAACTTTCTTTACAGAATAAAAAATGGAAATAACTTTCTTTCCAAAACAAAAAATGGCAAGAACTTTCTTTACAAAACAATATGGCAAGAACTTTCTTTCCAAGACACAAAATGACAAGAACTTTCTTTACAAAACAATACGGCAAAAACTTTCTTTCCAAAAAATAATAGCAAAATGCAATAACGAAAATGGCAAAAATAGCTTAAATCCTGATTAACACTCTCGTCAATGTCGTTTTATATAAAAAAATGACTAAAAGGTGAGACGCCTACTCGACCAATAAGCGGCTTTTCCCAATCCCTGAATGGCCAAATGAAAAAGTGGCAAAAACGTAACGTTACAACGAACTATTTCAATGAAATCGACCAAAAATTGTTACAATCAGAAGCGGCACGGTAAAAAAAAATTAATTTTGTTAAAATTTTTAATAAGAAAAAATTTAAAATCTACTTAAAATTGTAAAAAAATTTTTGTATTTTTGAATTTCCCGCCAAAATAAAAAATCTTGGTATCGTGTTACAAGGCTTAAAAGTGCTTCAAAAGTTGTAAAGTGACTTTAAAAAATCATAAACTTTAATTTTTGAAGATTATTAATATTAAAAATTTAAATTTTTAAAAATCCCGCCAAAATAAAAAACTTTGGCATTGTGTTGCAAGGCTTAAAAATGGTCTAAAATAAACAAATAAGCCAAAAAAATCATAAATTTTATTTTTTTTTAAATTATTTTTACTAAAAATTTAAAATTTTGAAGTTCCCGTCATTATTTGGCATTCTGTTGCAAGCTTAACAAAATATAAACAACTTCCTTTCTATTACATTAGATAGTATGAAGAAGTATACGCAAATGTCGTTTTTTATATAGCTATTTATGAATTTTGACCATAAACTTCATAACTGCGCCTTTTATAACTGCACAGTGCAAAAGCAATATATGAGTGCATCGTGCAAGGAAAATGATATTGTCGTTCTGGCATGTTGCAGCAAACAAAAAAGTAAAAATATGGTTTATAAGGATAAAAAATGTCATTTAAATACAGTATGTTTAATTTTTGAGTTTTTGCATCAATCCAAAATGGCAGAATAAAGACGCTTTGATGGGTGCACCGTGCAAAAGCCGAAAATCTTTGCACAGTGCAGTAAAAAATTTTAAACAGACGTTTTATACCCGTTTAATCTTATATTTTGTGGTAATTAAGCAATAAAAGAACAAAAAAACTAATTTTTATAAAGCAACATTACCCTTCTTCCCCCCCCATCTATACCTACATCAATATACCCCAACAACGTCAAAAAGCAAAACAAAAATATCAAAGAAAGCCAAAAAGCAACTCTAATTCCATTAAAAATGACGCTTTGCCATGCCCAAAACATCTCGTTCCTTATCATTCTTTTACTATCACGTTGTGATATATCTTCATCGTATCCTCCCCCCCCCCCCTTGGAATGACGCCGTAACTAAATTAAGGATGAGCACGAAAGTGCAGTACGAACGAGTATGAGAAGAGACCAGTGATGGGAACTGTTTGTGTTTTTCTTAACTCAATCCATTAATTCGATTCGGGGTAAAGTAGTAGCATGTGATTGTAAAGTTTTGAAAAAGTTGCAAAAACTTGTTTTGAACTCGGGTTTTAGGTATGAAAAATTCATTTTTTGAATTTTAAAAACGAATTTTAGGTAAGGAAAAGTGGAGTCTTGTTCAGAGTAGAGAGACAGTTATTACATGTTGACATAAAGAACCCGCCGTTTTTTACAAGTAATTATAGGCAAAGATAAGCGGGTTCTTTATGTCGGCACCTAATATAGGTAAATTAGGGTAAATTAAGGTAGGGGAGGGAAGGGTAGGGCAGGGCAGGGTAAATTAAGGCGGGGTATGACAAGGCAGGGTAGGATATACTTATTTAGTAAGGCCGGGTATAAAAAGACAGGGTGGGGTGAGGTAGAGTAGGGAAAAATGAGGTAGGATAGGGTAATGTAAGTCAGGGTTCAACAGGGCAAGGCAAGGTATGATAAGCTAAGGCAAAAGGGTAGGGTAGGGTATCTCTCACTCTTATTACAGATTCCCAGCCCGGCGTTGTTCATGCACCATGCAATGATTTATTGTGTTTGCACAGTGCAATTTTAAAAACAAATTTTTACTGTCATTTCAATAGGCCAAAAACATAAAAATTGAGTACATTATTATAAAAATGTCAATTTTCATTCAAAAAAACTCAAATTTTAATTTTTGCTATGTTGCGATTGCACGGTGCAATCATATATATATTTTGCACGGTGCAGTCTTTAAATTTTGTTGCACTGTGCAAAACCTTTAACGTCATAACTTTTTAAATTCAAAAATAAAAAAAAAACTAAATTGACTCAAATTAAAGATTGAGCACACTTAAAAATGACAATTCTGTTGACAAGAATTACCATTATTACCTAAAAACACACGTCAAACAATGAGTCGTCAAATAATGCCCTGAGGGTTCATGAGAGAATTTTAAACGCTTTTTTAAAAATACACAAAATAAATTTAAAATTCAAAATAGGTTTTGAACTTTTTTGTCTCGTCTTTCAAGTACTGCCGTCTGAATTTTCAGAAAAACTAAAATATTTAAAAAATAAATGCAAATAACAACAAAATATGGCATTTAGGGCCCTACTCTAGTTATAGGGTAGAGCACTAGCAGATAAGACTACACACAGGTGGGATAAAGTAAGGTAAAGCAAAGTAGATAAAGCAGAGTAAGTCAGAGCAAGGCAAGGCAAGGCAAGGCAAGGCAAGGCAAGGCAAGGCAAGGCAAGGCAAGGCAAGGCAAGGCAAGGCAAGGCAAGGCAAGGCAAGGCAAGGCAAGGCAAGGCAAGGCAAGACAGGACAAGACAAGACAAGACAAGACAAAGCAAGGCAAGGCACGACCAAAGCAGGAAAAGGGTATTGCAGGGCAGAGTAAAGAATAGGGTAAACTAGCTCAAAAGTTAAAAAATGCCCTTTTTGAACACCAAAAGCGTTCTGAAACGTTGAAGAACTTGCTTATAATAAGTAAAATAACTTATTAAAACTTGCAAATTAGGTTTGTTAAAGCCGTTCCAGAAATCACGGCAGCAACGTTCTTTTCATATGTTTTAGTAGTATTACATATAAATGTAGGCGTCAAAACTTTTAAAAATGTAAAGTTATAAAAGTTTTTATCTACTTTATTATACTAGAACCTAATTTTTCACTGTATTAATATTATCCTTGACTTCTTTCTTTATAGTTCATCATTCTTTTTGTCTTCTGGCTTCTTTGTCTTTGTGTCAATGCTGAAAAAATTTAAAAATTAGCAAAAACTTTCTTTACAAAATTGGCAGAAATATCATTCATCGTATAACTTGTCATTCGCAGCCTGCACAGCCAAAAATTTTTGAAATTTTCTATGAAAATAGGAAAAGCTTTATTTAAACAACAGATATTAACATTACCTTTGATCCTTGTCCGGAGTCAGAGTTTTCAAATTGACATCCACAAAGTAGGCTTTCAACTCTGGATCCAATTCGTTGAAGCGTTTCTTTATATCAGCCACCTTTGGACGTGATTTCTTGCCACATACCATCATCTGAAATTTAAAACTCAAAAATATTTCAAAATAACAAAACTTTCTTTACAAGTCACAAAAATGACAAAAACTTTTTTTACACAACAAAAAACAGTTTAAAGCGGTATTCATCGTATAACTTGTCACACGCAGTCTGTACAAGGCAGAAGCTAAGCTCTTTTTACGTAAAAATGAAAGAACTTTCTTTCCAACACATAAAATGTCAAAAACTTTCTTTACAAAACAAAAAATAGCAAGAACTTTCTTTCCAAAGCTTAAAACAGTGATAACTTTCTTTACAAACCAAAATTTTGAAAAAAAATTTAAAACTACCGTACCTACCGAATTATGAACAACCATGTACAATTCACACCATTTGAACACTTTTTCGTATAGCGTCTTTACCATTAGTCGCTCCATACTAGGGTACTTTATGTTATCTATCACGTTCATTGCAAGCAGGCCATCTGAAAAAGCGCACAAACTTTGTTTACAGAAGATGAAATGGCAAGAACTTTCTTTACAGAGCACAAAATGGCAAGAACTTTCTTTACAACAAAAAAATAGTAAGAACTTTCTTTACAAAACAAAAATTGCAAAAACTTTCTTTACAAATCATAAAATGGCAAGAACTTTCTTAACAGAGCAACAAATAGCAAGAACTTTCTTTCCATACCTTCAGTCAATGTATCATAGTTGTACTGAATCACATCTTCTTCCAAATACTCATTTATTGGGCATAACGTCTTGTACTTGGGCTTGACATCATTGTAACACAAATCCAAGAAGATATAGTTGTATTTTGTACCTAAAAAATAAAAAAAAATTAAATTTTTTATCAAAAAATACAGTATACAAAAAGATCACCCATACATTATCTTTTAAAAGCTACAGTAACCTACAGTAGCCAAAACTTTACAGTAATCCAAAAAATCAAATTAAATTTTTTTTAAATTACAGTAACCCTAAATAAAAAACTTACAGTAACCCTAATTACATAAAACTACAGTAACCTACAGTAACCAAAAAAGTACAGTAATCCAAAAAAACCAAAGTTAATTTTTTAAAATTACAGTAATCCTATCTACATAAACCTACAGTAACTTTATTTAGATAAAGTTACAGTAACCATATGTAAATAAAATTGTAACCTTTTAAACAACTCACCATTTTCAGCCGCCTCCTTGATGAACAAAGTGCTGTCGCTATAATGAATGTCGACTTGGTCATTCTCAACAAAACCCAACCATTTCTTCCCAATATACACAGTTTCTGGCATCAACTCCACTCCAGTTATGTGCATCTGAAATAACATACTTAAAATGACAATGTGTTTTCTTTACAAAACAAAAAATTAGCAAATAAATGTCAAAAATGTTATTTATCGTATAATATGTCACCCGCAGCCTGCAAAACTCTCAATTACACTTAAATCAGAAAGAACTTCCTTTACAAAACAAAAAATGGCAATAACTTTCTTTGCAGAACATAACATGGCAAGAACTTTCTTTACAAAACAAAAAATGGCAAAAATTTACTTTACACAATCCAAATATTCAAAAAATAAAAAAAATTTTTAAAAAACTGACGTTTTTGTTGATAGCAATCAAATTTTTCGCCAGCCCCCCAAAACCAAGTCCGGAAGTGAAGATTCTAACAGGTGCTTTCGATTTGTAATCCAAATTATTAAATACAAATGGCGCTGCCACATAGAATTGGATATAGACACTCGGACTGACATTGCTTAACGAACCTGAAACGATAGTAGTATTACCCTACCCTACTCTACCCCACTCTACCCTACTCTACCCTACCCTACCCTACCCTACCCTACCCTACCCTACCCTACATACCGTCTTTGTTTAATCTAGTTCCAGCCAGCATGTAGAAGGTCGATAAGGGATATACAGCATAGTATTGAAAAAGCCTGAAAAAACGGAAAATAGTAAAAAATTTAGTGCCAAACGGTCCAGTCCCTGATTTTCAAGCCCGGCCCTTAAATTTGGGTCAAGGCTGGCCCGGCCCGGTTAATTCCTCATGTCTAATTATCTATCGTATAACGTGTCACCCGCAGCCTGCACAGCACAAAGACAAGGTTTTTTGATTTAAAGTTAGCAAGGACTTCCTTTCCAACCTCAAAAAAAGCAGAAACTTTCTTTACAAAACAAAAATGGCAAGAACTTTCATTCCAAATCTGACAGTGTGATTTAGCGTATAAATTTTCACCCGCAGCCTGCACAGTACAAAATAGGTTTTTTATATAAATTCTGTAAAAATTTTCTTTTCAAATCATAAAACTGCAAAAACTTTCTTTCCAATATAAAAAATGGCAAGAACTTTCTTTACAGAACAATATATAGCATGAACTTTCTTTACAAGACAAAAAATGACAAGAACTTTATTTACAAAACATAAAATGGCGGAACTTTCTTTACAAATGAAAAATGGCAAGAACTTTATTTACAAAACAGAAAATAGCAATAACTTTCTTTCCAATATAAAAAATAGCAAGAACTTCTTTTACAAAGAAATGGCAAGAACTTTCTTTACAAAACAAAAAATGGCGAAAACTTTCTTTACAAAAAAAAACTTACTAAAACTCATTCACAAAAACCTGACCTACCTCTCCTTCGGCTTTGTATTCAAAACAACAGTCCAACATTCGTTATCTTCAAAGCAAAAGTAGTCGAATACTATCATACCCAGCTTCTTCAAGGTTCTTGCCGTTTCAGCAAAGCGTTTGTAATCAGCGAAAACCTCACTTTTCATTGGTTTTTCAAATTCGTAATCAAAATAGTCGCCCTCAGGGTAGCCATCGATATCGGTCCATTGTTGAGGTGATTTCTGGCATTTTACTGCAAACAGTGATACCTAAAATAAAAATAGCAAGAACTTTCCTTACAGAACAAAAAATGGCAAAAACTTTCTTTACAAAACACAAAATGGCAAGAACTTTCTTTACAAAACACAAAATGGAAAGAACTTTGTTTACAAGATATAAAATAGCAAGAACTTTCTTTACAAAACAAAAAATGGCAAGAACTTTCTTTACAAAGCTAAAAACAGCTTCCTCAAAAAGTTTTTTAAAAACAAATGATAAGTGAAAGATTTTCAGTGCAAATCCCTTTGAAAATCTTCAATTTTCTAAAAGTTCGGAATGCTGTGCATTTGTCATTAATTTTAAGAAAAAGTTCTTGTCATTTTTGTGCACCGTGCAAGTAAAAAAGCCGTTGCACGGTGCAAACAAAATTAGGGACGTTTAGGTCGTTTAGGGTTCATTAGATACATATTTTGTTTTGTAAAGGAAGTTCTTGCTATTTCTTGTTTTGTAAAGAAAGTTCTTGCAATTTTTTGTTTTGTAAAAAAAGTTCTTGTCATTTTTTGTTTTGTAAAGAAAGTTTTTGCCATTTTTGCTTTGTAAAGAAAGTTCTTGCCATTTTTTGCTTTGTAAAGAAAGTCCTTGCTATTTTTTGTTTTGTAAAGGAAGTTTTTGCCATTTTTGTATTGTAAAGAAATTTTTTGCCATTTTTTTTCAAAAAGACCTCAAAGCTATAAAAAAACTGTAACATTCAGTAAGAAACATACAATTAAAGTCCAGAAAGCACGATGAATCAAGCCACGAATTAACATTTCCAAGTAACTAACCAACACTCAATTTCCCACCAAATTAAAAAATCACAAAAATTGAAACGCTTTTTAATGAATTTTATAGTCATTAGCAAAACGTGGACAAAAAGCAAAATCACATTTTTTATTTTTAAAATTTAAAAATAAAAATTTCCTTTATTTTAGTTTTGACAACAATGAAACAATCGAGGGTTTGAAATTAAAGTTTCAGAGTAAAGATCAGATCACGCTGAAAAGCTTGATCTGATCTCTATTTTTAAATACAATATGAGGGTTTCATTGTTTCGTTGTATGAATAGTCATGTAACAGAAAAACAAAACCATGTAGGCTTTTGCCGAGTTACTTTTCAACACAAAATGTTATCTAAAAAGTCAAAAAATTTCAATATTAGGTGGCGACATAAAGAACCCGCCATTTTTTACTGTAAATTACAGAAAATGGCGGGTTCTTTATGCCGGCACCTAATATTTAACCTCCAAACCAGTACACCTCAAAGTTGGATGTCTAAAACAAGATAAAAATCTTAAATACTTTACCGTATCCCTAGCGTAAGCCTAGGTTTGAACATAAACATAAAACTCAATAGAAGTCTAAGCTCACGCATACCATACCCTGAGCCTGACCCTAAGCCTGGCTTGAACCTGAACCAGAGCTTGAGCTTGAGCTTGAGCTTAAGCCTGAGCCTAAGCCTGAGCCTGAGCCTGAACCTGAGCCTGAGCCTGAGCCTGAGCCTGAGCCTGAGCCTGAGCATGAGCCTGAGCCTGAGACTGAGACTGAGGCCTAAGCCTATTTCTAAAGCCTAGTCTTGGTCTCAGACTGTGAGCCTTCTTTACAAATCAAAAAATGGCAAAAACTTTCTTTACAAAACAAAAAATTGCAAGAACTTTCTTTACAAACCGAAAAATGACAAAAACTTACTTTACAAGCCTAAAAATAGCGAAAACTTTGTTGACATAATACGTTTCTGTCGCGTTTTTTATGTCTTATGAGTTATATCGGATCTGAGTTTGGAAAAGGTTTTTTTAGAGAAAGGGACGATGACTCAAACAAAACACTGTTTCGCTTTTATTCGACGAGTTTGTCGATGGAAAAAAGGTATATTCGATATCTTTGAAGAGAGGGGTTTTGCAGTTTTAGCTTTGAGAGTAAGTTATATTGAGGTAGGTGTGAGTAATTGGTTTTGGATGGTTTAGATTATAGTGGCTTATTTTAGGTTATACTTTGGTTTTTTAAAAGTTTAAGTCATTTTTTAACTTAGAAGTAAATTTTTTTGCTTTGTAAACAAAATTCTTACCTTTTTTTGACCTGTAAAAAAATTCTTGTCATTTTAAATTTTGTAAAGAAAGTTTTTGCTATTTCTTTTGTATTGTAAACAAAGCTTCTGTCGTTTACAATTAAAAAACTCATACTTTTGAATTTTGCGGCCCGCGGGTGACAAGTTATACGATTGATGACATATATTGTATTTTTAGTGTTTGTAAAGAAAGTCCTTGCCATTTTTTGTTTTGTAAACAAAGTTCTTGTCATTTTTTGTTTTGTAAAGAACGTTCTTGCTATTTTTTGTTTTGTAAAGAAAGTTCTTGCCATTTCTTGTCCTGTAAAGAAAGTTCTTGCCATTTTTATCCTCAAATTCATTTCAATTTCTAAACATAATTTTTTTAAACTTTTAATTTCCATATTGCGCAAGTGAAAATTAAATTAATTTGAGTCGATTGTTTTAACGGCATTAAAAATCAGCGCCACTGGGGGATTCAAGTTCAAACGGGATAAAACCGACTGATCGGAAGGGTTTTACTAGTTCTTCGCCCCTTTTAAACCGCTCACTTTTGGCGACAAAAACCGGATTTTTGTCAGTTGTTGCGAAAGTGTGCTTTCTCACCTGGAAGGAAAGTTCTTGCAATTTTTTGTTTTGTAAGGGAATCTCTTGCCATTTCGCGTCATGTAAAGAAAGTTTTTGTTATTTTTTGTGAAATAAGAATTATAACGTGTTGTGCAGACTGTGGGTGACAGGTTATACGATGAACAGCATTTTTTTAGGTTTTTATGTTTTAGAAAAAAAGTTATTGCCATTTTTTGTTTTGTAAAGAAAGTTCTTGCCATTTTTTACGTTGTAAAAAATAATGGCTATTTTTACCCAAAAATTTTGATTTTAGAAATTTTGCGAGCTGCGGGTGACATGTTATACGGTGATTTTGTGTTTTTTCAAAAACTTCTTCTGGTCCTGTAAACAAAGTTGTTGCCGTTTTTAGTATTTATAATCTAAAGTTGTTACAATTTTTTAAATGTTAACAAACTTGACGACACTTACGCCATTTTCAGGTCACACTTTGTCAACAGCCCGTTAACACACAGCCGGTTGGTTAGTCGAGGTCAACGTGGTGCGCAATTCCTATGAGTGACGTCGGCGAAAGAGATGCGCGTAGGCGGCGCGCATAAATCATTCCTGTTGGCCTTGATTCTGTGGTTAACGGTCATTGAGGCTAAGCGGACGAAGAAAGCCGGCAGCGCTGCGTTGCGACGAATCAATAGTTTGATCAACGAGAGGATTAACAAGTAGGTTTATGGTTAACATGTGAGGTGTGGGAGTAGTAGTAGTAGTAGTAGTAGTAGTAGCAGTAGTAGTAGATGTAGTAGTAGCAGTAGTGATAGTAGTAGTCGTAATAGCATCAGTAGTAATAGTAATAGCAGCAGTAGTAGTAGTGCTCCATTTTGGACCTATTCCAGAACCCTTCCCCAGTACGACACCCCGTTAGCCCCTCCACCAGCCCTGAATCCCAATGCTCGACGCCATCCCGACGAACTCAGTGTCAATGATCCGGAAGACTTTTTCCAAGGAGACGTCGAGTTATCAGATGGACAAGCCAAAATCATCGAACAACAGCTCTTGGAAAAGTTGGGACGTGCCCCACAAAGCGACAATCTACAACCCGACGGCGCTTCCCAACCCGACGACACTTCACAACTCGACGACACCGAATTCAGCGACGACGACGTACACCATGCAGTCACTACTGATCGAAACAGACCCAACAATTCGTCTTCAGACAGACCTAAAACCTCACAAAGCAACACCAAACGATCGCGTCGCCAAAAGCGAAAGGTCGGCCGCGACAGCGTTTACAAACGATGGGACGTGCGGAGACCGATCAGTTACGAATTTGCGGAAAGTATTCCAGAACCCACCAGACGCCGAATCCGCGAAGCCTTGGGGTTATGGGAGCGCAACACCTGCATCCGCTTCCTCGAGAACGGACCCGACGTGGATCGCCTCGAGTTCTACGACGGTGGAGGGTGTTCGTCGTTTGTGGGAAGAGCGGGCGGCACCCAAGGCATTTCCATATCAACACCGGGCTGCGACGTTGCCGGCATCATTGCGCACGAGGTCGGGCACGCGCTCGGCATCTTCCACGAGCAAGCCCGACCCGATCAAGACCGAAACATCAAGGTCCACTATGACAACATCCCCGTCTCACGGTGGAACAACTTTTACCCCATCGGCAACGACCAAGCCGACGTCCTTGGTCTACCATATGATGCTGGCTCTGTAATGCACTATGGTTCTTCTGGTTTTGCCATTAATCCGTATCATGCCACCATTTCGGTGTTAGATTCAAATTGGCAAAGCACTATTGGTCAACGTGTGGGGCCATCGTTTTTAGATTATCAAGCAGTACGTTTAAAAAACCGATCGTAAAATCTTTTCTAATTTTTAGTATTATTCCACAAATTACATTACGGGCAACTGTGAATAAACGTCGTTAAAATAAGTGCAATTTTAGATAAACAAAGCCTATAAATGTACTAATCATTGTCCACCTTTACAATGTAAAAATGGTGGCTATCCTAATCCTCAAAACTGTAAAAAATGTAAATGTCCTACTGGTTTAGCCGGAACGTACTGTACTGACGTTCAATTTTCTGTTTGTGGTGCAACGCTTAAGGTAATTTTTTAAAATAGTCATAAGTTTTATAATAGTCCAATCTTATTATTCTACATTAAAATTTTATTTTTGTACTTTTTAGTACAAGATTTAGTCGTTTTTGTCTTACTTTTTTCAATTATAGGCTTCAAAAACAAAACTTCGTATAGAATCTCCAAACTTTCCTTTACCATTCCCTCAAGGCATGGATTGCAATTGGCTAATACAAGCTCCAAAAAGCGGAAAACTCTATCTTCAGTTTATCGATAATTTTGAATACGAATGTATCGACACTTGTGATGCTTCCTTCATTGAGATCAAACTAAAAAAAGACTTCAGAATGACGGGTTATCGTTATTGTTGTAGCCAACCCCCAGCCCAAACATTAGTCGCTGACGGTGAGCAAATGATAGTTATGCACAAAGGTATGGGTCAGGTATCCTCAGGCTTTAGAGCTTTAGTTTGGTCAGACAAAGATCCTGATAATACTGTAGAATCTATGCTACCGACATTTACTCGACTCTCAACACAAGCGCCAGTTTTTACTCCACCTCCTGTTACTACAATTCCATTTACTACTACAAAAATTACAACTACTACTACCACATCAAGACCTATTTTGGAAATGATTGAAGAAGTAGAGTTAAAGCCTGAAGTTGTTACTCCGCGTAGAACGACAACTTTAGCTACAACAACTACTACCGAGAATATGTTAACAGAAGTCTATGAAAAGAAGACAACAATTTCTTTGTTGCCAGGTGAAATCGATGCTTTCTTTGGCGGAGCTTTAGGCCCTGAAGATAATTTGGGTGAGAAATCTGAAATCGAAGAGGAAAATAAAGAAACAGAATTTACGTTGTTTCCTACTTTGATTCCTACATTGCCAAACTTCTTGGGTACAACTACACCAACAACGCCGTCTATTCAAGGTTTTTCTACACCTGAACCGGAAGAAGTCACTCCTCCTGACGGTATGTTAATGTTTTGTTATTTTTGTTGGAACCCAGTCAAAAAACAAGTGAATGAAACTTTGAGCCGACCTCATTTTTTCCACTGTTTAAAATATAATAAAAGTTTGATTCTTTTATCATAATTTTCAACCTTTCTTGATAACAAAGTCAACTTTTTGTGACGTGTGGTGCCACACAAAAATTGAAACCAAAAATTGCCATAACGCTTCACACTTGACTTTTAATACGTTTCAGCCGTCGAATGCGCGTGCGGTCCTTGGTCCGAGTGGCTGGGCGCTTGTTCACAAATGTGTGGCGGTTGCGGTAAGCGTACTCGTATGAGACCATGTCGTTCCGAAAAGTGTCGCCGCGAAGAGAAACGAACATGCAATTTTGACGTGTGTCCCAAAGGAACAAACTTTTTGTGGACGAATGGCGAATTCCATTTTCTGTTTGATGGTTGTTGTTTTGGCAGTTTTAATAACGGAAATGGAGTTTGCAGTGGGATCGAGCAGGAGAAGAACGGCGGCGTTGTGCAATTACTGTTGAATTTGTTGAAAGCTGGCGATGAGCCGACTGGTAAACAGCCTTTTATACCTGATTAAAGGACTGATGAATGTTTTTTAATATTACCAGACAGAACTCATGGGTCACTTAAACCTGGCTGTCAAATGCAAAAGCCTTGTTTGCAGCCTATCATACCTGACTAACTTTTTTATTAGATTAATTTGCAAAAATCAAAAGCAATGTTATACATTATTTATTACCTTAAGTTGTATTTTAAATTTTTTTAGGAAGAACTTTAAGCAAATTATACTGTCTTTGTATAAACTACTAACATTAAACACCACTTTAGATTATTTTATAGTAGAAAACCCAGTATTTTGTTTAGTACCTATTAACTGTAAGTTGTTATTGAACAATAATACTGTATAGGCGTCAAAACAAAACATATGCCGTATGTTTTGTCGTGACACTGTTCAATAGAATTTGTAAGGACACCTATTCAATCGCCTTTGTGACATTTGTCTGTACTAATTATTGTGGGAGTTTGTACTTGACTTATATTATAGTTGTTGACATTTTACTTCCGCTTCGTCCGAGTACACTTTGACCATTGTTGAACGTTTGTTTTGCAATTCCGGCTATAGTGAAAGGTTTAATTATTTATAAGTTTCTCATCGTATCACCATTTTCTTTCTGACATTGTTGGTTTGAACTATTTGTTTATTTGTACATTTCGAGGAATAAAACACATTATTGTACATTAAAAACATCATAATTGTAAAGACATTGACATTAGTTATTAATTAGTGGTAAAATGTAAACAATGAGGGTAGCTTTGTGTCTTACCGTGAGCTTTTAATTGTTTTACAGTAAGTGTAGGCGCTTAATGTGATTTTTTGTGAAACAGAAAGTGATGAGGTAGAGCGAACAACGACAACACAGTAATTTTGATTGTAATAGACACAAAAACTACAACACAGTAATGATGATTGTAGACACAAAACCACACAATGTTTAAAATAACACAGTACTTACAATAGGAAGTATCCGCTTACAATACAAAGTATCCGCTTACAATACGCAGTAATGTAAGCGTACTGTGTTAAAAATGTCAATGTCGTTCAAATAAAAGTAAAAAATAGCAACAAGTTGCAAAAGTCACTTGAGCAAACCCATGTTTTCGTCGAGAGTCAAGACTGAGATCAACATTATGAATAATATTGTTGTGATTGAGACAAAAAGGCACTTAAAGTTTCCGAGTTTAACGAATATTATTATGATTTAGCAAAAGGATTCCCGTTTTGGTACCCGAATCGGTTGGCCGTTTTTGATTTCCTTGTTGTCCATCTGAAGCAGACGGGCTTCCTGCAATATGGGTATGTTTAAGGGGTTGTTATAAGTTTGTGGTAAGTGTTTTTTTAGGTTTTTATAACTGTAGCTGCGTAGTAATAGTGTTTTAGGGTTTATTGTCATCACTGTGTGGTAGGGGTCTTTCACAGGTTACATGTTTTAACTAATACGACTGTCTGGTAAAAGGTCTTTTTGGTTTTAAAGAAGATTTAAGGTATGTATGACTTATAAAAGTTAGTTCTATTCGTTTTTATGTAAAATACGTTTTTTGGACCATAGTTATTAAAAGTCTTACCAATTGACGATGTAATGAAGGCGAGTCATTACTTATGGCGTTCTTTAAACGCTGTAGCACTTCAAAACGCAACGGCATGGCTTTAAATCGGTTTCTGAAATTCATTTTATGATATTTTTTTCACTTTTTCAACGTTTAATTTTTTTTCGATTTTTGATTTTTTAAGCTTTTAAAAATTGTGGTCCGGCAGTGTTTTTTGGAGATAATGATGTCTACATAATGTCAAATTCCCAGCAGACGTTTACCCAAACAACAGTGTAAAACACTTGTTTTTTTCGACCGTGTTTGGAAGTAAATTTCGTAGCGGAAATTAAGTTTCCAACGATTTGACACAAAAAGTTCCGGCATGCTTCAAGAATAAATTTTAGGGCAAATTTAACATCAGGAAGTGACACTTTGTTCCTTGAGCATTAAACATGAGTGTTTCACACGTGGGTGGCACTTTTGTTAAATCAGCTCGAGAGATTTATCCTAGCACTAGCTCTAGCCCTAGCATAGAGCCCTAGCAGAGCCCTAGCCCAGAGCCCTAGCCCAGAGCCCTAGCCCAGAGCCCTAGCCCAGAGCCCTAGCCCAGAGCCCTAGCCCAGAGCCCTAGCCCAGAGCCCTAGCCCAGAGCCCTAGCCCAGAGCCCTAGCCCAGAGCCCTAGCCCAGAGCCCTAGCCCTAGCCCTAGCCCATAACGCTATCCCAGAGCCCTAACTCAGAGCCCTAATACTAGCCCCGGCCCGAGCTCAATAACAAATCCTGGCTTTACCCCCACCCTTACCTCAACCTCTACCCCTTTGTTGATTTGCCTTACCTGCCTTATCGGGGCTCTGTCTTACAGCGGCCCTGCCTTACCCCAGCCCTGCCTCCTGGCCCTGGCTTACTCCGGCACTGTCTTACCTTATTTTGCCTTTACCTTTGCATTAGCTCTACCCCCTACCTCCCACCCCTACCACCATACCAAAAAGATACTCAAGCGAACATTTTCATTAAAAATGCTCATATTAAGTCCCAATTAAAAACCGCCACGTACCTAGCAGCGCCCGGCGCTTTGTTACTCCTCAAGCTTTGCGACATGAGCGACGGTTCGTGATACGTATCCACAGTCGATGTGTTGCCAGGAGCGTAGAGTCGCGAAAAATGCGACCGTAAGCTGTTTTTGCTTTTACAACCAAACGACAAAAATAAGGCATTTCGGAATTTACTGTTCAGGAAACAGTAAGTGATGGGGTTCGTACAGGACGAGAGGTATGTGAGGACGGTGATGAAGGTGTTCAGCTCCGAGTTCCACACGTTGAAACCCTGGAAAAGTTGGGGAGTAGGTTAATATTGAGCTTGTGGTTATCATTTTGATGATATATTAGGTTGTTCAAAAAAGAATGAGCTACCGTTTTATAATCAAAAAAAAATTTTTAAGGGATATGTTATACGATGAAAGATGTCCGAAAAAGTAATTTTAATAAAGTAAAATACGAACGTTGCAATTCTTTGTCAAAAATTCAAACTCACCCCAAAAGCATCCTGACCATTCAACAACAACCACCATATGTACGATGGAGTCCAACAACAGAAGAAGATAATGACAACTACAATCAACATTCTGACCAGCCGTTGCTTAACCAACGCCGTTCGTCCACTATGAGTGGAACGCAGCGATTGAGCACCATTGAGTACACTATTCGAGGTTTTGCGACTCTCACCACCCACGCTTTGACTGGCACCGTGCACACTGGCTGTGGTCCATCTGAAGGATTAAATATGGCGTTTTAGGGGGTGTTTTTGAATTTTTTTGGGTTGGTTTTGAGTTATTGTGTTGATAAAAGTGATCTTTGATAAAAAATTTAAATTTTTTTAATTTGCAAAAAACTTTCTTTACAAAAAATTTTTTTTTAAAAAATTAAAAAAAATAAAAAAAAAATTCTCTGGTCGATTTTGACTTTCTGTGTTGACGAAAATAATTTTTTATCAAAAATTTAAATTTTTTGAAGATTGCAAAAACTTCCTTTACAAAAAAAATTTTTTTTAATTTTAAAAATTTTATTTTTTTTTAAATTCGAGTTTAAAAAGTGATAAAAATGATTTTTAAGATGCATTAAGCCTCTTTTCTTACCTAAACCTCTTGCTTTTGGCCGACCCATTAAAGTTATTAGCGCCTTTTAAAGCCGGAGTTAATGGTGTTGATGGGGTTGAGTTATGATTAGTATAATCATTGTTGTTGGTCGTTTTGGTTGGTGAATTTTCATTTTTATTGCCATTTATGTCATCTGCAACAATTTTGTCATCAAATTTTTAAAAATTTTTCGAAATTTCAAAATTTGCAGAGACTTTCTTTACAAAAATTTTTTTTTGGAATTTTATAAAAAAAAGTTGAAAAATATAGTCAGGTTACATTTAGAAACACAGTAAAAATAATTTCATATCAAAAAGTTTTGTCATACCCGGGTTATGGACCTCAATAGCAGCAATGTCCATTCGAATCCCAGACCTCAAGGTCCTTATCACCGACCCATATAAACATGTCATGATGACCAATGGTACCACCAACAAAACTATGGTCATATAGACTTGATATGAAAAGTGTACTATGGGTTGGTGCTTTGGTGCACAGTTTAGTCCACTTTTGTTGTAGGTACGCAGCTCGTACATGAATAACATAAAAACGTTGGAAATGATGGCAATCAGCCACACTAGGCCTATCATAGCCATAGCGTGACGTTTCGTGTGCCAAACTCGAGATTGGAGTGGTTTACAAATAGCGTAGTAGCGCTCGAGAGCTATGGCCGCTAGGGTGTAGGCTGAGGCCGTTACTACTACCGCTGAAAATTTTTTGGTACTGATAAGAATTGATAATGTTTTTTTTACTAGTCAGAAAAAACTTTTTCTTGGTTTAGTTTAGCCAAAAAATAAATTGCACGGTGCAATCGCCGCTTCATAAAAAACTGCACGGCGCAGTAAAATTAAAAACTTGAATTTATAACAAAATGACATAAATATTCATTTGAAAAATTTAATGTAAAATACGTTTTGACTAAGTCAACATTGAAAATAACCCATTTAAAAAAAATATTCCTAATTTTTTCAGAATTTCAATTTTAAAAATAACTGCACAGTGCAAAGCAAAAACACCAAATCGTTGCACGGTGCAGTCAAAATACTGTAAAATACGAAACATTTTAAATTGAGTATAAAAAATTTAACTTACGTTGTAAATAAGCGAGGGCTTTACACAACACATCGCCGAATACCCAGCAGTACACGAGAGATGACACTAATGTTGGAGGCATGCATACCACACTCAGTAGAAGATCGCTTAATGCCAAGTTTAATAGGTAGATGTTAGTCACTGAGCGCATGGAGCGTTGCTGGAAATATTAATTTTAAAAAATAAAAAAAAATTTTTTAACCACTCCCCCCCCTCTAAAAATACCCTGCCCAACTTTTTTTTTATTTTACCCTGCCCCACCCTGCCCTGCTCTGCCTTCAGCTGTTCTACCCTGTCCTACCTTACTTTAAAGTGACAAAAAAAAGTCTTGTCGTCATTCGCATTAAGTTTAATGCTAAACAACGACAAAACTTTCTCCCCGCCCCAATATTACAGTATAAATCACCGAAAATTGAATCATAACTACTGTCAACATTAAAAAACAGTTGATGTTATTCATGATTCCATGCGAATGTCATGCGATTTCCGGCGTTTATTAAGGAAAACCCCTTCAGAGTGCTATTTTAGGGGCTTTTGAGTGGCCAAAAATAATTTGTGTACCAGTCGAAAGTTTACCCGCATCCATAATTACTTTCAGGAAAAGGTTGTCTATGAACTACAGAGAAGCTTAATTATTTGAGTTCAAAGTCGCAATTTTAAAACGTCGAAATTTGAGTTAAAAATTGTGCAGTTCTTTTTTTTATTTTTAAAATTTAGGATTTTGTGCCATTCTTTTTTGGACCTTCAATAAAAATGTTCAATCTAGAGCTCAAAGACATCCCTTATGCAACAAAATCCAAAAGTTCGATTACCTGATAAGTCTGCACGGTGCAATCAAAAATTTTAATTGCACCGTGCAGCCTATTTTTTAAATTTTAAAATTTCAGCGTATACTGCCATTCTTTTTTAAAATTTGATTAAAAATATTAAATCCAGAGCTCAAAGAAATCATTTTGAGAAAAGAAATTATATTTTCATCTACTGCTAAGCCTGCACGGTGCAATCAAAAATTGTTACTGCACAGTGCAATGATTTTTTTTTATTTCGAAACCGTAAAATTGTCTTTGGGAGTATGAAATTAATATTATTATAATAACGGTGACTATTTATTTACATTTTTTATAATTTAAAATCTGAATATAGCATCCGACATTGTAGCCTGAGGCTACAAACACGGTTACTACGTCAAAATGCATAAGAGCTGGAAACTGAATAAAATATACGTATTAATGCTAATTAATGCGAAAATTTTGTGTTTGAAATTAAGATTTTGTAGTCTACATACTAAGCTAATTACGGTACGTAAATGGTCTAAACAAAAATTTTTTTTTAATTAAAAATTTTTTTTTGAAAATTTTGATTTTCAAAAATTATGACAATAACATAAAAAGACAAAGTATGCCATTAGCATCAAAATACAAAACGTACTTTCAAAAAAAAAATGCTTTTAAAAATTTTGCGCAGTGCATCAAAAATTATTTGCACAGTGCAATCAAAAATTTGATTTAGTCTGCGCAGGCTTAACTTATGATAAAAATATAAAATAAAAAATGTAAAAAGCCTTTTATTGACCTAAAATTACCTATTATAAAACAATTTTTTTAAAAGTTAATTTGTAACAGCAAAATCATAAAAAATTCAAAAACCATTGCACCGTGCAATCAAAATAGGTTGCACGGTGCAAAAAGAATGAAAGTCAGAAATAGGTTTTTAAGCCTACCTTGCCTTGTATTAGCCTGCTCTATTTCCCTGCCCTGCTCTGCCCTGCCCTGCCTTGATCTGCATTACCCCGCCCTCACTTCTACCCTACCCTACCCTACCCTACCTCACCCAGCCAAACACACCCTACCCTAAACTTTTAAAACTCAAAATTTACCTGTAAAATAACGACCACCACGACCGAATTTCCAATGACTGATAAGCAGAATATTGTGCAGAATGCCACAATCATGACATAGTTATTGACAGTCGGGTGGAAGACACAGTCATCGCCGAACTCGAACGGTGCGGCCGTGACCGGCCGTTCCAACGGCAGACTGACGGCAAATGTTGCCGTCAGATTCGTCAACGTCGCCAGGTTTCTGGTTGTGGCGACTTGTTTTGTTGAGTTTTAGTGACGTTAAACCATTGGACTAAAATTAGGCTTAAGCTGAGCTTTAAGAGTATTTTTTTAGGCTTAAGATGCGATACACGGAACGATAATAATGTAAAATACGTTTCTTTACAAAAAAATGTCAAAAAGTATCTTTACAAAACAAGAAAGAGCAAAAACTTTCTTTACAGAATAAAAAATGGCAAGAACTTTCTTTACAAAACTAAAAACTGCAACAACATTCTTTTCAAACTAAAAAATAGCAAAAACTTTCTTTACAACTTCAAAAAAATCAAAAAATGCAGAAATTTTCTTTCCATCCCTTAAAAATCAAAAAAATTGCCAAAAGCTTCAAAAACAGCCAATATCATCACACCCACCCCTTCCTCTCATCATGGCCTAGCCCAATTTTCAGGGCCGCCGATCAAAAATTTTCCTCATGTCTACCTTCCCTCTCTCTCAACCCCCCCCTCCCTCAAACCCTCCCCCCCTCCTCCCCCCCCCCTCCCTCAAACCCTCCCCCCCCCCTCCCTCAAACCCTCCCCCCCCCCTCCCTCAAACCCTCCTCAGACAGCTTAAATACCCTCGGAAACCAATATATTATGCGTCGTGTATCATACTCACCCAGTACTATTCAGTTCGCACATTCCGAAAGTCAAAAGAGTAAAAAACAATTTTATAATAAAAAGTTTTGTCGCCGGCCCAAATCCATGGGAAAGGGGCGGGTAGAGCCGCCCGGCTTTAATTTGAATACTTTGGCCCCGTGCCAAAGATAAAATGGCAAAAATTGTCAAAGTAGAACAATGAAAATGTCATAAATTTTAGTTTTTATCATTGGATTTGTCATAAAATGGCAAGAACTTTCTTTACAGAGCGAAAATAGCAAAAACTTTCTTTACAAAGAAAGAAATGACAAGAACTTTCTTTACAATACAAAAAATGGCAAAAACTTTCTTTACAAAACAGAAAATGGCAAGAACTTTCTTTACAAGACATAAAATGGCAAAAACTTTCTTTACAGAATTTAAATGGCAAGAACTTTCTTTACAAAACAAAAAATGGCAAGAACTTTCTTTACAAGACATAAAATGGCAAACTTTCTTTATAAAACAAAAAGTGACAAGAACTTTCTTTACAGAACATAAAATAGCAAAAACTTTGCTTACAAAACAAAGCATTACAATGACTGTCATTTCAGATAAAAGGAAAAAGAGAAAAGCAGCAAAAACTTTCTTTCCAACCCCAAAACGACAAAAATACTCAATATATGATCCATCGTATAACTTGTCACCCACAGCTTGAACAAAACCAAAATTAAGATTTTTTGTTTAAAAATTAAAAAAATATAATTTTGTAAAATACGAAAAATTAATACACGCATAAATCTAGTCCCACATTTTAAAACAAATCCCTTGTTTTCAAACCTCGTACTATACAGTACGAAAGAAAAGATCCTAACTTTCAAAGAATTAAGACCGGATTTCCGTGTAAATGAGCAACGACGTATTGTATACACAAGGCATAACACAAAAATTTGTTTCAATTTTCAATGTTTTTCGAAAGGCGACTGGAAAGAAAGTTCTTGCGGGAGTCATATGAATTGCAAAACTGATTTGAAAAAATAGTTTTAATGACATTTTTAGGTAATAATAAATGAAAGTTGACTCAAAATTTTGGGTTTTTTTAAAACCGCAAGAACTTTCTTTACTAAAAAAATTTTTTAATTTAATTTCTTTTTAATTTTGGTTTTACCTTACCGTACCCTATCCTATCCTACCCTACCCTACCCTACCCTACCCTACCATACCCTACCATACCATACCCTACCCTACCCTACCCTACCCTACCCTACCCTACCCTACCCTACCCTACCCTACCCTACCCTACCCTATCCTACCCTATCCTACCCTATCCTACCCTATCCTACCCTATCCTACCCTATCCTACCCTACCCTACCCTACCCTACCCTACCCTACCCTACCCTGCCCTACCCATAAGTCACAACAATAGGTTAAAACAGTAATAGTTATTAGTAATGAGCGAAGAAATAATTGCTCTAAATGAGGTTAATCTTCACTTGAACAACAGCAACAAGTATCATAACAAGGAATTTTCTAGAAGTAAGTGACATAATGGGTAAACATTGTCATTTTTTGCTTTGTAAAGAAAGTTCTTGCCAGTTTTGTTATAAAAATGAACTTGAGTTGATTTGCAACTAGTGAATGATTAAACAAAGTTTTTGAGCTAAAAAATAGCACATTTTAAAAAAATAATTAAAAAAATGACAAGAACGTTCTTTACAAAACAGAAAATAGCAAGAACTTTCTTTACAAAACAAAAAATGGTAAAAAACAAGCTAAAACGTCATTTTTATAGAATCATCGTATAAATTGCTACCCGCAGCCTGCCCAGCACTATAAAAACAAAATTTTTGTTGAAATATATAGCAAGAACTTTCTTTACAAAACAAAAAATGGCAAGAACTTTCTTTACAAAACAAAAATGGCAAGAACTTTCTTTACAAAACAAAAATGGCAAAAACTTTCTTTACAAAACAAAAAATCGCAAAAACTTTCTTTACAAAACAAAAAATCGCAAAAACTTTCTTTACAAAACAAAAAATGGCAAGAACTTTCTTTACAAAACAAAAATGGCAAAAACTTTCCCTACAAAACAGTCAAAAGCGTCAAAAGCTCCTGTATAAAAACGTTTCTTATAACAAAAGTCCGAGCGATTCCTTATACAGGGTGTCTCCCCTGTACCTACAAAAAACTTTCAAGCCGGCAATTTACGTGTACAAGTTGTAAATAGATAAGTGAAACTTAACAAAAAAAGTTGAAAGACCTCAATTTTCCACATAATTTGATTTGAACCATGCTCAAAATATATCAAAGATGAAAAATGAATTACAAACCACCTGCTGTAAGACTACCCTTTCCTAATTATTTACTATGATTATGGAATTTCAAAGCAGTTTAACTAAATACAAGTACATAAAAAGCATAAAAAATTGTTTTTTCTTGGCTTTTAATTATGTCGTCATTAAAAATGGCATTTTTGCTTCAAAACATTTGAATTGCACAGTGCAAAATGAAAAACGGCAAGAACTTTCTTTACAAAACACAAAATTGCAAGAACTTTGATTGCAAAGCAGAAAATGGCAGAAACTTTCTTTACAAATCGCAAAATGGCAAAAACTTTCTTTACAAAACAAAAATGGCAAAAACTTTCTTTACAAAACAAAAATGGCAAAAACTTTCTTTACAAAACAAAAAATCGCAAAAACTTTCTTTACAAAACAAAAAATCGCAAAAACTTTCTTTACAAAACAAAAAAATTCCAAAAAACTTTTGCTCTTTTGCACCGTGCAATCTTACTTTTCTCTTGCACAGTGCAAAATAATAAATAATATGTTTGCACCATGCAAATGCAAAAAAAAAGCTCTTTCGTCCAAAATATAGTGAAATTCCTGTATAACAAACTAAAAAATGAGAAGAACTTTCTTTACAGAGAAAAAACTTTTCAAAACATTTGGCTTTCGAAGCTTAAAAAATGGCAAAAACTTAATTTATTCCGTATTTCCCTCGTTGCACTGTGCAATCTTATTTTTCTCCTGCACCGTGCAGAACAATAATGAATATTTTTGCACATTGCAAATCTAAAAAAATGACAAGAACTTTCTTTAAAGAAAAAAAAATTCAAAAAACTTTGCTTTTAAAGCCTACAAAAACATAGTTCATCTAGTATATCCGTTGCACCGTGCAGAATAATAATGAATATTTTTGCACCGTGCAAATAAGCTTTTTCCTCAAAAATATTGTTGTTAGCACGATGCAACATAAAAAAGATTTTTCGAAACGAGAGTAATTTTGACCACTTATTAGTCATTAATAACCACAAAATGCCCCAAGGCATTCGAGGTTATTTACGAGTAACAAGAGGGGGTGGAGCCGCCTAAACCGTTTTTTCCAAAATTTTAAAATTTTTTAAATTAAAAAAACCCCTCAAGCTCAAAAAATTTGGTTTTTGCCAAAAGTAATCTGTTGAATGGCAAAACATTGCCAAAGATTACTGAACCGTTGAGGAATTAGATACGAAGCACCATACGACAAATTTAATGACATCAAACGGATGGGAAAAAAGGGAGGGGGGAGAGAAACCTTTTTTCAATTTCTTTGGGATGAAAGAACATGAAATTGGACTGAAAGTGCCAGTGGAAAGAAAGTTTTTGTCATTTTTTGTTTTGTAAAGAAAGTTCTTGCGATTTAATGTTCTGTAAAGAAAGTTCTTGCCATTTTGTACATTGTGAAGAAAGTGCTGCCATGTTTTTGTTTTGTAAAGAAAGTTCTTGCCATTTTGTACATTGTGAAGAAAGTGCTGCCATGTTTTTGTTTTGTAAAAAAAAGTTCTTGCTATATTTTGTTTTGTAAAGAAAGTTTTCGCCATTTCTTGCTTTGTAAAGAAAGTTTTAGCAAGAATTTGAAAGTTAAAAAAAAAACTAGCTGAAAGCACATGCCTGTAGTAGACAAATAAACATTTTTTCGCAAAAAAAATGCCAACAATTATCTGAAATCTAATTAAAAATGCCTCTTTAAATTTCAAAAATCCTTGCTTTAATCCCCCCTCCCCTAGCAGGCCTGTTTAAAACGTGAGTCTTTCGAAGTCTTTAAGCAAATTATTATCATTACATCATTCTGCGCGCTCTAGGTGGTCATTAGTTTGCATAATTTAATTTGGGAGCCCCCAACAAATTTAAAAAAAATTTTTTTGAAAAATTAAAAAATTTTTAAAATTTTGAAAAAAAAAATTTTTAATTTGTGACTAAAAATGTCCTGACGCTACCAGTAAATCCCCTCCCGCTCCTCCATAACTCATCTTTTAATCCTTCCACCTCAATATTAGTTCGTTGCACAGTGCAACATTAAATTAGAAACTGCACGGTGCAGTCATTAGTTTTGACTGCACAGTGCAAAACTTTTAATGACAATGTAAATGCTTGTAAAGATAGCTTAGCTTCACGAAAATATAAGTAGTGACTCGGATTCTTCGTATTTTACATATTTTCACAAAAAGTTCATAATTTTTTTGCCTTTTTAAACCTAAAAATGACAGGTTTTTTCGACAGCACCGTGCAAACCAAAAACTTCATTGCACGGTGCAAAAACATAAAAGGTAGGGTAGAGTAGAATAAATCAAATGTCAAAAATTTGTATAACAGATGTTGGTCAAAAACTTCATAGAACTCCCAAAAAGGGCATTTTGAACCGTTTTCTACAAACTTTTCGACCGACTTTCAACAACCCGTGCCACAACTCAAAAAGTCAAAAAAAGTGAAAAGCTGCACTTGATATTGTTTGATTATAATCAAAAGTTTTGAGAAAATAATCCATCTTCA